ACTAACTGAAATAAACAACAATTTACATGGATTTAACAGTAGAGTAGAAGATTCTGAGAATTAAATCAACGATTTGGAATATGAGTAAGCAAAAAATACCCAATCAGAAGAGAAAAAAGAATCCAAAAATATGAAGATAGTGTAAGGAGCCTCTGGGACTTCAAGCATATCAACTTTTGCATTATGGCGGTACCAGAAGAAAAAGAGAGAGGAAGATATTGAAAATAAACCTGAAGAAATAATGACAGAAAACTTCCCTTACTTGGTGAAAAGAAATAGATTTACAAGTCCAGCAAGCACAGAGGAACCCAAAGTGGCTCACACCAAGATACATCATAATTGAAATGGTAAGGGTTAAAGACAAAGAGAGAATCTTAAAAGCAGCAGGAGAAAAGCAGTTAGTTATCTACAAGGAAGTGACCATACGATTGTCTGCTGATTTCTCAAAATAAATTTTGGAAGCCAGAATGGAGTGTCAAGAAACATTCAAAGTGATGAATAATAGGATCTACAACCGAGATTACTCTATCCAGCAAAGCTCTCATTTAGAATTGAGGGTCAGATAAGGAGCTGCACAAACAAGAAAAAGCTAAAGGAGTTCATCACCACCAAAACAGTATTATATGAAATGTTGGAGGGTATTATTTAAGAGGAAGAAGAAGAGATAAAAAATATGAACAATAAAATGGCAACAAATACATATCTATCAGCAATCGAATCTAAAAATCAAGATAAATGAACAGGAAATCTAATGAACAAAATAAACTGGTGAATAAAACAGACTCAAAGGCATGGAAGCATGGAACAGACTGATGAATCTCAGAAGAAAGGGAGGAGGGGAAGATGGGAAGAGATTAACCAAAGATCTTACCTATGGACACAGACAGTAGGGTGGTGAAGGCCTGGGGTGGGGCAAAAACTGGGTGGAGGGGGCAATGGGGGGGGAAAGAGGGGATATCTGTAATACTTTCAACAATAAATATTTTTTAAATTACTTAGAAAAATAAATAAATACGTATCTATCAACAAATGAATCTAAAAAACAATAAATTTACAGAACAGAAACAGACTCATGGTGATAGAGAACATTTCAATGGTTGCTGGATGAGAAGGGTGTTGGGGGCATGGGTGAAAAAGGTGAAGGGATTAAGAAGTACAAGTTGGTAGTTACAGAAGAGTCATGAGGATGCAAAGTACAGCATAGGGAATCTATACTCATAAAAAGGTAATATGCTAATTAGACCAGACATCTTCCGATGTCCTTCCAGGCAAAGCCATGGTGGCGGGGACCAAGGCAGAGGTAGTTAGGGGCAATCAGGCCAGCAGGCAGAGGCAGTTAGGGGCAATCTGGCAGGCAGGTGAGCGGTTAGGAGCCAGTAGTCCCAGATTGCGAGAGGACTGTCCCTGCAGGATCAGGCCTAAACCAGCAGTTGAAAATCCCCCGAGGGGTCCCGGGTTGGAGAGGGTGCAGGCCAGGCTGATGGACGCCCCCCCCCCCCCTGCCGGGCAATCTGGCAGGCAGGTGAGCGGTTAGGAGCCAGTAGTCCCAGATTGCGAGAGGACTGTCCCTGCAGGATCAGACCTAAACCAGCAGTTGAACATCCCCCGAGGGGTCCTGGGTTGGAGAGGGTGCAGGCCAGGCTGATGGATGCCCCCGCCCCCCCCATGCCTGAATTTTGTTCAGCAGGCCTCTAGTATAGTCAATAATCCTATATAATAAAGAGCTAATATGCAAATGGTCATCACGCCCTCACGCTGTCACAGCTCAGACACTCAACACTGGGGAGAGAGGAATGGGGACCAGCCAGGCTGCGGACTGGGAGAGGGACAAGCCGCCTGCCCCACGGTCCCAGGCACCAGCGGCTGTGCCTGCACCTGCAGCCCAGAAGAGGGACAAGCTGCCCACCCCATGGTCACAGGCACCAGCGCCTGCAGCCTAGGAGAGGGACAAGCTGCCCGCCCCGCTGTCCTGGGCACCTGCGGCTGCATCCCAGGAGAAGCTGCCTGCCCACAGTCCCCTGCAGCTGCGGCCTGCCCGAGCTAAGCGGCCTGGGTCCCGGGTGCCTGAGACTGGCTGAAGGAGGGAATCCTGGGTCCTGGGTGTGGGGTGAGGCAGAGGCAGTTTGGGGTGATCAGGCCAGCAGGGGAGCAGTTTAGGGCAATCAGGCTGGTAGGGGAGCAGTTAGGGGCAATCAGCCAGGCAGGCAGAGAGGTTAGAGGAGATTAGGCAGGCAGGCAGTTAGAAGCCAGTGGTCCCAGATTTCGAGAGGCAGTCGGACATCCCCCAAGGGGTCCCGGATTGGAGAGGGTGCAGGCCAGGCTGAGGGAACCCCCTCCTCCCATGCACGAATTTTGTGCACTGGGCCTCTAGTATTCTAATAATTATGTATGATATCAGATGGGTATGAGATTTATCAGGTTGATCACTTAGAAAGTTATATAATGTCTAATCACTGGGTATACACCTGAAACTAATATAATGTATGACAACTGTAATTGAAAAACAAAAAATGATTTAAATATTTTTTAAAAAGAAATATTGAGGTAGCAGAAACTTAATTGAACCTAGAATTACAATATAAAATCAACTACTTCTGAGTTTGTTAAATCTTAAATTGAAATCTAGTATTATTCCCCCACCAATTCACATCCCACAATGATTTTATATTTAAGCCATGTGCATAAACATGCATATGTGTGCACATACTTTTAGTAAATTGTTGGAATGAAAAAAAACTGTGATTATTTTAATAACAAAAAATAAAATAAAGTAAATTAAAAATAAGTTAATGAATTGTTAAGCACTGAATCTCATTGTGGCAATTGCTTTTTTGCTAATTCAAACTAATGGACAAGCCAGTAATATTATTTTTAAATCTTCACTAGCCTTAAATTGGGTGGAGGGGGGGGGGCATAAAGATATCTTGCCTCTGGTTCAGCAAAGTGGTGTCAGGTCTGCATGTATATTTCTTGGGTGGTTGCCCATTAGCTTTTCTGTCTTCTTCAGCTGCTGCAGGCAACTGGCCCATTTAGGCTGGAAAAGCACAGTAGCACCTCTGTTTATTCAGTCATAAGAAATTCCTTCTGTGGTTAAATTTGTCTTGGTGGAGTTTACCAATGCAATAACATTTCTTTTAGGAATCTTGTTTAATTACAGAAAGGTAACATGCAAAAGAAAATATATAAACCTATCTCTAAGTCAGGGACAAACTAGTAGATGCTTTATAAGCAAAAAAGCCAGTAAAATTTTCAAAATTAGTGTCCCTTCCTCCTTTCCTTCTTAGGATTAAAAGTGATTTAAAAAAAGAGAGAGAATTTGTTCTACCCCGATTTTCTCTGTGTTAGAGTGTCGGCCCACGGACTGAGGGGTCCCGAGTTCAATTCTGGTCTAGGGCACATGTTTGGGTTGCAGGTTGCTGGTTTGGGTGCATGTGGGAAACAACCAATCTCTCTCTCTCTCTCTCTCTCTCTCTCTCTCTCTCTTTTTCCCCTCCCTCCCTTCCACTCCCTTCCACTGTCTCTAAAACTCAATGGAAAAAATATGCTCTCACCAAGAAATGACTTTGTGTTTAAAATTCAGAAGTGAAGACGAAATCAATGAATCAGATTTTACTTATTGTACATGAAACTTGTACACAATATATAACTCTAGATTATTCATCCCCATTGTCATCAGAAAGCCTTTGTGAAATATCCACCTCTGTGTTATAAGGACCCTATTTATTCTGGCCCATACAGGCCACGTAAGGAGGTTCCAGAGAACTTGTGTTACCTGGTTGGTTGGACTATAATCCTCTGGTGATGTTGTCTTCTTTTTCCTCAGGCCTTGTACCCCCTCGTCACCTGTCTGCTCTGTGTCAGTCAGAAGCAGCTGTTCCTGAACAGGTGGCACATTTTCCTCAACAACTGCTTATCCAACCTTAAGGTTAGTATTGTTGGCTCAAAAAGTCTTTCATAAAAATATATATGATTCTTAATCTGGTATATGTGCTTCTGAGAGTGATTTCTGATATTTGCAGGGGAATTATCCTGTCCTGTTGGAATAAAGAAAATTAAAAAATATTAATAAGGTCTCTCCTTATCACATATAGTCAATTTTAGAAGGTAACTTAGGGATAAGAGAAATTACTTGAAATATTTTTTCTGGATTACTTTAAAAGTAAAAATAAATGCCCTCCTCTCATATGCCTCTATTGTCACATTTTACCTAAATGATTTTTTAAAAAGGAAGTCACACTTCATTGGCAGAGCATGTGTATTCATTTCAGAAGCTCATGTATTGCCTCTAGTCTAGGAAAATATTTGAGAAAGAAGTTCCATTCTGTGGGATGACTGATTTGGTAACAGAGAGCACTTATTTCTTGTCACTGTTATTTGTGATTACTTTAAGATATTCTCTTTGAGCCACATGCCAGTCTGTCAGGCCTGAGCCTTCATTGAGCAGCTCTCTTCAGGGAGGCAGCATAAAGGCCTGGTGACATGAGAAATAAAGTCATGGTCCCTGAAACTGCAGAATCTACAGAGAAAACAACTGTAATGATTAGCTTTAAAATTGGCTTTATAATTTGCAAGTGGTAAACTCATTTTAAGTTTTAGTGACCTATTGATTAAAGACAACTAAATGAAAACCATTGTTAATATAAGTGCACATAGCATGTATTTTTCACAAGTGTTCCATTGTGTCCAAAGATGTTGAATTTCTTTTTATAAGTTTGATATTTGCTCCTTTAGAATTTTTGAGAAATATACTTAGTTATGAAATCCTGTATGTGCTTATATATGTTGCCTTGTCTTTTTTGTTATAAGACACTTTAATTTGATGAAGTGGTAAAGATTAATTATATTATTTTGGCATTTATTATAATTACACAATAATCTGCTTCAGAGCTGTTTTAAGCACCAACTATGTACTGGCTCTGAAAGCTGATTGTAAAATCCAAGACTAGAACCATTTATTTTCTTCAAATTGGCAGTGAACTATAATAGCAATGGATATAGAGTTAAGCTTTTAAGTATTCTGAAAAACAAAAATTTTCCAGGTTATCAACTATTTTATAATAGCCACTTTCAGATATTTTATTTAGGTATTTATCCATGTGTCAATACACCTTTAACATACAGTCCAATGTCTTTTTTTGTAAAAACTTTTCAGTTATTCAGTAATTGGTTCTAGTTAAACTTTTAATTTTTACATTTTATACAGATAGAAAGTGGTCATTTTGTTCAAAACAAAAAAGAGAAGTTATTACAAATATTCACAGTGCACTTGTATATATGCTAGATGTGTTTGAGATTAATTTTAGTTAGAATTAAAATTATATTTTGCATGGCAATTTATTGTTGTGGCCACAAATACCAAAATCTTCTGTCCAAAGTTGCTTTTGAAGTATAGCAGGATAATCTTAGTTTGGAACTTAACTGCTTCAGTTAGAATATTGTTTGGAGTGCTAGTCAAAGCCCACCCAAAAAACTTACTAATCTATCTATACTAATAAAAGGGTAATATGCTAATTAGACGGGACCGACCAGATGTCTTCCGGATGTCCGAAGTCCTTCTGGATAAAGCCAGGCTGGACCTGGGGGAAGCCAACCCAGAGGCAGGGAAGCTGCCCATGGTAGTGGTCCCGGGTGCCTGCGGCCAGCCAGAGGGAGGGAAGCCCAGGTCCCGGATGCCTGAGGCCGGCTGGAGGAGGAAAGCCTGGGTCTCGCGTGTGGTGGCCAAGGCAGAGGCAGTTAGGGGCAATCAGGCTGGCCGAGGCAGAGGTGGTTAGAGGCTATCAGGCAGGTAGGCAGAGGCGGTTAGGGGCAATCAGGCAGGCAGGCAGAGGTGGTTAGGGGCAATCAGGCAGGCAGGCAGGCAGAGGCAGTTAGGGGCAATCAGGCAGGCAGGCAGAGGCAGTTAGGGGCAATCAGGCAGGCAGGCAGAGGCAGTTAGGGGCAATCAGGCAGGCAGGCAGAGGCAGTTAGGGGCAATCAGGCAGGCAGGCAGAGGCAGTTAGGGGCAATCAGGCAGGCAGGCAGAGGCAGTTAGGGGCAATCAGGCAGGCAGGCAGAGGCAGTTAGGGGCAATCAGGCAGGCAGGCAGAGGCAGTTAGGGGCAATCAGGCAGGCAGGCAGGCAGAGGCGGTTAGGGGCAATCAGGCAGGCAGGCAGAGGTGGTTAGGGGCAATCAGGCAGGCAGAGGTGGTTAGGGGCCATCAGGCAGGCAGGCAGAGGTGGTTAGGGGTGTGCAGGCAGGCAGGTAAGCTAGTGGTTAGGAGCAAGCGGTCCCGGATTGCGAGAGGGTGCAAGCCGGGACGAGGGACCCCCCCCTCCCATGCACAAATTTTGTGCACCGGGCCTCTAGTCTACACTAATAAAAGACAAACATGTAAATTGACCGTACCTTTGCTATGCCTTAAGCCACACCCACCAGCCAATCAGAGCGACTATATGCAAATTAACCCAACCAAGATGGCGGCCAGCAGCCACAGAGCTGGAGCAAGCAGGAGGCTTGGTTGCCCCAATGATGGAGGAAGCCAAGCTTCCCTGGCGGCTCTAAGCTCCACTCAAAGCAACAAAGTTTCAATTATAGAAGGTAAATAAACCCCAGATATCTGCTTCCAGTCGCCATGGCCATGGAGCTGGAGCGAATAAAAAAAAAAGGAAAGGCTGGGAGCTTCGGTCGCCAGGAGGCTTGTCAGTCTGAAAACAGCCATCAGCCCCTCACCCAGGCTGGCCAGGCATCCCAGTGAGGACCCCCACCCTGAAGGGGGTGTGGGCAGCCTGAAAACGGCCCTCAGCCCCTCACCCAGGCTGGCCAGGCACCCCAGCGGGAACCCCTACCCTGAAGGGGCTGTGGCCAGCCTGAAAACAGCCATCAGC